CCCCGCAGGTGCCTGTCGGGGCCTGGGTTTCAGCTGTCCACACCACAGCAGTGGGCAACGAGCTTAAAGCCCCTGATGGCTCTGGGCGCTGACTCTCACCAGTGGCTATGGATGAAGTCACAGGCGATTTTCAGCCAACACCACCAGAAGCCTTTTTATAACTATCAGTCTTTATCAAAGTTCATAGAGTTTCAAGAGGCATGTTGTTTAGGACGTGGATGCCACTCTTGCTTCCGATACACACACACACACACACACACACACACTTAGAATTACTGAACATGACTGAGGGACTGAGACAGGGAAAACATGGAAATTGTGGAAGAGAAACTAGAAGAAAACCTCTCAGGCATTGTGAAGAATTAGGAAATCGATATTCATAATTCAGTAAACCCTAAACAGATTAGGTCTCAAAGGGAAAACATCAAGATATATCATACCCAAATTCTTCAAAATGAATGATAAGGATAGTATACTACAATTTGTTCTTGTTATGTGCTGTCGAGTCTCCAACAACTATAGATACTTCAGATCCTCGTTCAGCAAGCTGTGTTAAGTGCATTTCACAGCTTGCTAGAATCTTCTTCCAGGTCTGATTCTGTCTTCGTATAGCCTAGTTGCTTAGATGCCCCCCAGACAGCATAAATAATGAGTAAATTGGGGGTCAGATTTATTCATTTATTTGTTCTTTAGGCAGTCCATTGTATATTCACTACTCCAACACTATGAGTTAAAAGAACTGATTATTTTCCCATCTTCATTATTCATTGTTCAGCCTTTAGATGCATAGGAAATAATTTGAAACCACTACAGCATCTATTAAAAATTCTGTTTTTATAACGATGTAGTGTCTATTCAAAACCCACTGTCAGTTGAGTTTTAAGTTTAGTGTAATCATTATAATGTATGGAAATGATACTCTCCTTTCTCTCAAACAAGATACTTTTTATTGTGAGACAGTGGAGTCTTGAAAGAATGGATATTAGGCCATCAAGAATTGCTGTCATTCTTTACATGCTGTTTTTAAGCAGCAGGGGGCCCTCTTTCATGTTTTGGTTAACTTGAAATTTTAAACAACGATCATTTGCAAATTCGAACTAGTTCTCCACTCCCTCCCTTTTTAAAAGGATGAAAGTTTTAATATTTTAACCTAAAACAAACAGAATGGATAAAACTTTAAGAAATGCCATTTTTACTTGACATTTACTTACGTATTCATTCAGTTTGAAACCGTGAACAGGTGGTAAAATCGTATTTGCTGAAGGAGATTTTAACATATTCATCTCATAAGTGGAAAGTTGAGGGTGACAGTTTTTTCAGGAATAGCAGTATGAAGTCTGAACCCTGAAGTTAGATATTTAAAAGAAATCTAAGCACTTTCCATTGGCTAACTTAACATTTAAAGTTAGTTGAGAATAAAGAAAATAAATAATTGAAAGAACTTTCAGGGATTTAAAAAATAAAAATTACCAGCCCCACAGATCCGCTGGTGAATGTGGGGGAGAAGCTGTCAGCCTACCTCTAGTCTAACACTTTATCCATTTGTGGAATTAAATAGCTTTCTATTGATGTGATGCTCGATGCTCGTTCTCATTTTTCTGCCTTTACCATATCTTCATCCTCCCACCCCACCCCTCCGCCCCACAATATCATCTTGATTTCTTAAGAAGATTCGAGAGGGGAAAAAAGACATCAGAGATCCACTTTCCTCATTTCCCCTAAGTTAGTGCCCTAAAGACTGAAGGGTTTAGGCTTACCAGAAGTCCAGAAGGTTGGCTGTGGCCAACGAGATGTGCCGACAAGAGGTTATAATAAAGAAGAGTGAAGAAAATTCCCCGAATTTCCCTTGTCTGACAATGGCTGTGTCCCAATGTCAAATGCTCCTACAAGCTTTCCTCAGGTCTATCTCTGTCCCTCTTTGATCTCAGAGGCCTGCAAGCTGTTAAAAGTTTTTTACATTGCTATCCTGAGGTCTCCATCATTCTTTGTTGCCTTGTTGCCTTGCCTTTATCCTGCTTCCACCTTTGTAAACATTTCAATAAACTCACTTGATTCCTTTAAAAAAGGGGAAAACGGAGAGAGAGAGAGAGAGAGAGAGCGAGCCACTGAATCTGAGACCAAGCTGTGCTGCAATCCCAAAGGCATGTAGTTCGAATCCACCAGCTGCTCCCAGGGTGAAGGATGGGCAATCTCCTGTGCAATTAAACTACCTCTGAAAACCTGCTGGAGGGTCAGTTATGGGTCGGTTCTGACTCAACAGCACACAGCAACCATAACGTAAATGTATGACTTAAACAAAAACTGAGAAAACTCCATAAAATCCATTGCTGTCTCGTCAGTTTCAAGTTGGAGTGTCCTGATAGGACATGATGGATCTGCTTCATAGACTTTCCAAGGCTGTAGTCCTTACAGCAGCAGACCACACATGTCTCACACTTGGAGTGGTTGAGTTTCATCTGCCCATTTTCCAGTTAGCAGCTAATCACTTAACTACTTGCCACCAAGGCTTTAAATTGGTGACTGTTTAAATCAACCTTATTAAGTTTTGAGGTATTTAACTTATTGAGAAACTTTATTTCACCAGTCAAATGAATAGGTTCTGGTAGTTTGATTAAAACTCTGTAAAATAGATTACACCAAGTATACAGGATTCCATCCAGTAGACAAATAATTGAAAACCAGAAAGATAAAAATGAAATGTAAAGTGTTCAGCACTTTCAACTTTTTTAAAAAATGTAAAATTGTATTAGTCAGGATCTCAAAAGGAAACAGAGCATATTTGGAAGACTTTAATCAAAGGGAACTTTTAAAGACATCATTTGCAGAAATGTGGGAAAGGTTAAGGGGGCAACAGGTTATCTACCCAAGGATTAATGACAATTGAAAGGCGTTATTATTCCCAGGAGGCTGGGGCAAAGGAGTGAGCATTCTCAGAACCTGAGAGCTGAGATGTGGAGGGACCCAGTCACTAATGAGGAGAAGGAGAAGCTAGGCAAATACATCTCAGCTTCCCTCAGGTCAAGCTCGTCAACCTCCTTCAAGTACCTGGTAATGACTAATTCCAGCAAGAAACCAGAGGGCCCATGTGAGACCTGTGTATAACCAACCTCAGGCTCTCATGCACTAAGCATGAAAGGGATCTGAAGGGGAGAGTGTAACTGGAACAACGATTATTATAAATAGATGCTGGCTTCAGAGACTCTTCCTACTTTATAAACCAGAATTTCTGATAATTCTACATCTTTATTCTTTTGATGTTGTATAGAAAATTATTGCTTTAATTTTCAACTTGTTCATTGCTAGACTATGGATGCACAGTGTTGCTTCTTGATCTATGATTGGTCTATGATCTATGTCCTGCAATCTTGCTGTACAAGCTATAATGATTTTTTTTTTGGGAAGGGAGGGCTGTAGATTCCTTAATATTTTATAAAGGTTGTTAGATGCTGTCGAGTTGGGTGCTGCTCATAGCAACCTTGTGAATAACAGGTCTGAACCCTGTCCTGTCCTGTCCCATCCTCTCAATCTATGACACACTCAAACTTACTCTTGCTGACATTGTTTCAATCCACCTGGTTAAGGACCTTCTTAACTTTCGCCTTCCTTCCACCTTCCCAAGCATGATGTCCCTCTCTAAGGAATAACTTCTAGCAATATTCTCAAAGTATGTGAGGTGAAGGTTCATCATCTTTGTCTCCAAGAAGCACTGTACCTTTTCTAAGATATAATTGGTTTTTTGGCAGTCTTCTTCAACACTACTGTTCAAAGGTGTCAGTTCTTCTTCTGTCATCTTTATTCATTGTCCAGTTCTAAGATGCATAGTAAGTGACTGGGGAAAAGCCAAACACTCATAGCCTGAATCAGGTGCACCTTAGTCCTCGAAGTGACATCATTGCTCCTCAATAATTTGGAGAAGTCCCTGACTGCAGGCTTTCCAGTGCAATAGGTCTTCTGATCCCTCCTAATTGGTGGTACTAAGTGTAAAAGGAAATCATTGATAATCTTTTCTCCCTTTCTTATGATGTTGCCTATGATGGTCCATTGGTTAGGATTTTTGTTTTTTTGACATTGAGATGCAATTCATATTGAAAGCTGCAGCATTTACTCATCTGCAGCAATACTTCAAGTTTTCCTCACTTTTAGCAAGCTAAGTGTACCACTGTTATACCAAAGATTATTAATCTTTTGATTTCCTGAATGCTGATGCCAAGAGTGTTGATTGCGGACCCGTTCCAGCTGAAATATTTGACAGTCTCAATCTCTCCTTAATCTATAAGGGTTGCCAAATGGCACAGTATCTAAGGAATAATTATAGAATGTATTCATAGTGTTGCAGATACCCTTGAGATTTGTCATCAATGTTAAGATTACATGACATCATATTTTTTGTTGCTGTTGTTATGTGCCATTTATTTGGAACTCACTCATGGCTGACCCTACAGTGGGTTTTCAGAAGTTATAAATCACACAGGAAGAGATTGCCCATCTTTCTTGTTTGGGGCAGCTGGTAGATTTGAACCACCTGCTTTTGGGTTGGTAGTGTAACTCCTTACCACTAATCTACCAAAGTTTTTTTTTTTTCTAGTCTGTAGTAGACATTATAAAGATTCATTAAGTGGATTAATTTTAGCATTTTTAGATTAAAAAGTTTTGTTTTCCATATTTTTCCATTTAGGAGAAGTCATCTGGCAAAGAAAAACCCAAGACTCCCGTGAGATATTTACAACAGTTGTCCATGGTAACTTCCATCTGCATTCCCTTACATTTTTCTTCTTTTAATAATATGTGACTTATTTATAAAGAAATTATTTATAAAAAGTTCTTAATCTTAAAAATAAGTTACTAAATGGCTTATTTTGAATTTTGTTCTTTAAGAGTATAGGTATTGGTGAACTAGTTTTTAGAATTGGAGGACTTAATAAGTTTTGAATAGTTAATTATTTTCTGTTGGCAGATTTGTATGAGGTGTATATATTTAAGAAAAAAAGAACTAATCTTAATCAGCTAACTGCAAGATATACTTTCCAAGTATGTACAGAATATTTGAAAATTCTGAGGAGAAGACTCACTAAGATGTACTAGCTAAAAGAATATAAGGACTGGAATAAGAAAACAAGGGCTCATGTTACAGGTCGTAAATGCTGGTTGATGACAGTATTATGTTTGATTGATTTATCTCCCTGAGCTTCAATTCCTAGGATTGAAAATGAAAAGGGAGTGAATTTGATGATCTCTGAGGAGATGGTTCTTCTGAGATGAAAATATGTAGTACAAAAGTATTTCTAGACCTTGACATATTTTTTATTATTATGGCTATAAATTATCACTGTGCTGTGAAAGAGGCAGTTAGTAGACATTTTTGGTTGATAAAATACTGGGTACATTAGATTTTGTTATAATAAATCTCACTGTCATAATTATGTTGAGTTTGATGTCACTGAGTTATATTTCTGTGACTCCTGGGAGATGTGTTTAAGTTGGCATTCGATAGAAATAGTATTTGATCTTGGAAGGTAATTAAAAGAATGAAACAGATTTGTATTGTTGTTTTTATATTGAATTGATTCCTGATGATTTGAAATTACTCTTTTCAGCTCTAAAACCAAGTGAAAATTATTAAATGAATGATATTGAGCATTTGATAATAAATGTGGTAACTGAAAACGATTTTATTGATAATGCAAAGACTATAACATCACTTTTTTTGTTTTTTTAATTTATTAATTTCAGTGAAAATTTACAGAGACTTTGGATTTCCATTCATTCATTGTTGCACTTTTCTTCCCTCCCAATCCTACCCCCTTGTACACTACCCTCTTGGTAAAGTAAAAGAAAAATTCTTTCATTGTTCCACAATCCCTCCCCCCAGGTCCACTCCACTGTGCAGCCTTTGCTCTGGACTCCTCTCATGACAAAAATACCTAATCACATATCTACTTTAAACCGTTTTCTCCCTCATCTGTTTCAATGCAGTATATATTATTGAACCCATCTTTCTCAGTATCCCCCGAGCCCCGATGTCAGTCCTGTTTACAACAGTGGCACCATGCAGTATTTGTCCTTTTGTGACTGAGATACTTCACTCATCATAATGTCCTCCAGGGTCACCCATTTTGAATAATATTGCATGAGTTCCTTGTTTTTCAATGCAGCATAGTATTCCATGGTGTGAATATACCACAGCTTCTCTATCCATTCGTTTGTTGATGGGCACTTAGGTTGTTTCCAAATCCTTGCTATTGTGAACAAAGCCATGATAAACATGGGTGTGCATATATTTGCTTGGATGTCAGTTATGGCCTCTTTGGGGTATGTTCCCAGTAGTGGAATTGCTGGGTCAAATGGTATCTCTATTTGCAACTTTTTGAGAAAGCGCCATACCGCCTTCCACAGTGGTTGCACCATTTTACACTCCCACGAACAGTGAATAAGGGTTCCAGTTTCTCCACAACCACGCCAGCATTTGTTCCTTGCTGTTCTGCTAAATTTTGCTATTATGACTGAGGTGAGATGATATCTCATAGTTGTTTCTATAGAACAGGTTAATAATGTTTTTCTTTTTAATTTCTTTTTAAGTTGTGCAAAATTTTATCTTCAGGTTTCTAGTTTGTGAAACAAAAAATTCTGTCTAAAATGAAAATTTTTATTTTCTTTTTAAAATTTTTACACATTTTAAAGTTGGAAAATGAAATTTGTTGCTTTTTGTGTTTTATTACATACATACAGGTTTGGAAATACCATTTTTATTTAAACTTAACTCATTGCTGTCTTGTTGGAACCAACTCAGAGCTGGCCTTCCATTCAGCTGACTGAAATGAATGTTTTCTTGTCAACAAAGTGTCTTTTTTAAGCAGTTTCCCCCCCTTGAATCTGTGTAAGAGTGGTCTCAAACAGTATTTGCCCTTTTTTAATTATTTCACTCTGCATAATGTCCTATAGACTTCTCCTGGTTGTAGAGTGTGAGCTTTGTCTTAGGCTCATTGTTGTTCCTTGATGTTGTATACGCCCCAAAAGGTGGAGGCTCTCTCGGGGTTTGGATCCACCAGGGGTTCCAGAGATAAAACTAGGAAATCTCCTGTGCAATTCACAGCCTCAGCAGCAGTGCAATCAGCTGGGAGTAGGTTCCAACTTGACAGCAATGAGTTGTTGTTATTGTTGTTATGTGCCGTCGAGTTGCTTGCAACTCATAGCGACCCTATGAACAACAGCCCTAAACTGCTCTGTCCTGTGCCAATAGCACTGTCTCTGACACTCCCAAACCGATTATCCCAGTCACTGAATCA